TAAGGCTGCCCTGGCAGAACCGCTACAACGCTTACTGGACAAAAAATCACCCTGGTCTGGTCAAGCACCCAAGACAAAGCGTTCAAGGTGGTAAAACCATTGCTATCTTCAGACTCCATCCTAGCTAATTTCAATGAAAACCTACCAGTAACACTAGCCTGTGATGCCTTGCCATATGGCATTGGGGCAGTATTAAGCAACAGGATACCAGATGGTAGAGAGGCCCCCATCGCATACTATTCTAGAACGTTATCATCGGCTGAAAGAAACTATGCCCAGATAGACAAGGAAGCCCTCGCCACAGTGGCCTGCATTACGAAGTTCCATGACTTCTTATATGGACGAACTTTCACCATCTTTACAGATCACAAACCTCTGCTTGGTCTCTTCACAGCAGACAAACAGACATGGCAGATCCTGTCACTGCGAATGCTACGATGGCCCATTTTCATGGCTGCATACTTGTACCGACTAGTTCACAAGCTGGATAAGGAAATGGGCCATGCCAATGCTCTCAGCCGACTGCCTCTACCGTAGACTGATCCAGACCCAGCCTCAGCTTGTTGTATCCTGGCTATCCAGGACCTGCCTGAAGCACCCTTACAAGCAGGAGACGTTGCAGCTGAAACCACCATGGACAGAATGCTTAGCCACGTTCTCAACTGGGTGTTAAGGGGATGGCCAGAGACCCGGCAAGGCCCTGAGTTCCATCACTACATTTCTCAGAAAAATGAACTGTCGGCCCACAAGGGATGCATTCTATGGGGCAGCAGGGTCATCATTCCACCAGTCTGCGCTGCAGGGTGCTGGATTTCTTACATGAGGGGCACCCAGGAATTGTTCGAATGAAGGCTCTATCCAGGAGCTACTTGTGGTGGCCAGGCCTGGACAAGGACATTGAGAATCAAGTAAGGAGTTGCCAGGCCTGCCAAGAAACCCAACCGGAGATGCCACAAGCACCAGTGCATTGCTTGGACACCATGCATACCCCATGGTCTCATGTGCACATTGACTTTGCGGGCCCCTTCCAAGGGCAGTTGTTCTTAATTGTAATAGACAGTTATTCCAAGTGGTTGGAAGTGGCACCGGTCTCATCGATGACAACAACCAGGGTCATCCAAGAGTTGCCCCGGCTATTCAACACACATGGTCTGCCAGATGTAATCGTGTCCGACAATGGGGCACAATTCACGGCAGGAGAGTTTCAATCTTTCCTCAATGCCAACATGATTCGGCATGTAACATCTGCTCCATTTCACCCCGTGACCAACGGTCAGGCCGAACGAATGGTCAGGACCACAAAGGAGGCGCTCAAGCAGATGACAACTGGAGACTGGAATCATCGCCTGGTGAACTTCCTCCTGTGTCAACACACAACTCCCAGTACAGCAGCAGGTCGCAGCCCAGCGGAGCTCGACCGACTTCACCCAAGAGAGAGTAGTGGCAGAGACGGCTCAACCAAAGCCCCCCAGGAACTTACAGATGGGTGAATTGGTCTGGACCAGGAACTATGGAAGTGGGGCACCTTGGGTGGCAGCTAGGGTGACTAAGATAACAGGGCCCTAGTCATACAAGGTTATTCTGGAAAATGATTGCGTGGTCAGACGCCACATTGATCAGTTATGGCATCGGCAGGCCAGGCCAGTCCCGGGTGAGGATCCCGAGATTTTATCAGACACAGGGAACTGTTTTGCCCTGAGTTTGCCTATACCATCCATGGCCTCCTCTGGGGAAATGGAGGTATGAAGGGCCGTAGAGCTGCCGCCACTCACGGGTGACCTAAATGGCCATCACGAATCTGTTCAAGTGGAGATGGATAATACTCCACTTGAACAGGACTCTCCAATAACATTGCAGTGGTCCACCAGGATCTGTAGGCCCCCAGCCTATCTCAAAGACTATGAATATTGAACAGATGGAGGATGATAACTATCCTAGGGGGAAGGGGTGTTATGTATTGATATATATATATATATATATATATATATATATATATATATATATATATATATATATATATATATATATATATATAAAGTTGTGTTAATCTCTGCTAAAGTGAAACTAACCTAACTCCAACTGCTTGTGAAGCTAAAATGAAACTAACCTTTAGATGACTGTTAACTCCAATTGTTTTGGAGGGAAACTTTGAACATTCATATCTGGGTGGGCTTTTTCAAGTATTGTGATTGGTTAAGGCCCTGTGGGCTAAGAGTATAAACTACAGGCAATTGCCTGCAGTTCTCCAGTTCTAGTTTGAGTCAATAAAATTGCTGGTCTGCTCCTTGCCTACTGAAACCCACTACACAATAATTGCCCCTGACCCAAGCTGATAATGGAGCAGCTGCAGCCACAGCTGCAGATGCAGCACCTGTCCCCCATTCAGCCTCTACCAGTACCTCAGTCACCACCACCGGCCCAGCCATATCTCTGCGGAGGAGAGATCGTAGACCTACTGCCCTGGGGGTGAAATTTAATGGTTATCCTAATACAATAGTTCCAAGGTTGAAATTTTTAGCCTCGTCATCTTCTCCCAGCAGCTAGCAGCCCCTGCCATCACCAGATTACAGACAAAAGCTAACCTGCAGATACCGGATGAGTTACTAATAGTGCTGAAAGGGGCAATAGAGAAAGATGGTTTAAAACCCACAAAGCTGAGTGTACCACACAAGAATGCTTAGCCTGGATGGGTGCCAAGTTATATATCCTAGAGAGTCAGCACATCACGATCCTCCAGAGAAGCCATAATTCTAAAACAGTGGAACATTGTGGCTTTGTGAAAACTCTATACCTACTGAAACACCAGTTCTGTTGGCCATCTTTGAAAAAGGACATTGAAACCTATGTGGATAGCTGCCCTATCTGCTCATCAGCTGAAAGGCATCTAAGGTAAACCGCAAGTCTTCTTCAGCCAGTATCAAAACCTTAAGCATCCTGGAAAGAAATTTCTATGGACTTTATAGTGGAACTCAGGGAACACTGTAATTTGGATGGTAACTGACCTTTTCTCCAAACAAATATACTTTGTCCCTTGCTCCAAAATCCCCTCAGCACATATCTTACCAAGCTTTTCGTGCAACATGTCTATAGATTACATGGATCCCCAGAGCAAATAATTTTGGATTACGGGGTTCAATTCACTTTGCTATTTTGACAGGAGTTCTTAAAATTGCTTGGCACCACCCATGGGCTTAGCTCCTCCCTTCATCCCCAGAAAAATGGGGTGTGTGAATGCATGAATGGGGTCTTAGACTAATACCTCAGATGTTATGATAACTACCAGCAAGACAACTGGGCTGACCTTTTTCCTTTTGCAGAGGTAGCTGGCAATATGCTGTACATAGCTGCACTGGCTTTACACCTTTCATAGTTACAATGGGCCAATATTTGTGCTCATACCAGAGCTCCCCCCAAGCCAAACAACAAACTACCTCATTAGTGGAAAGGATTACAGAACTTCAAAGCACCTGGCCACTAGTCCACAAAGCTGTAGAAAAACCACATGAGACTTATAAAAAACAGGCAGATAAAAAGCGCTCCAAACCAAAAGACTTTTAACATAGGCAACAATGTTTATCTGTCTATCCAATGCCTCCAGTCTAGACAACCCTCTAAAAAATTAGGTCCCAAGTATGTTGGGGTCTTTCCAATTACTAAAGTCATCAACCCAGTAACAGTGCAATTGGGTCTGCCCAAATCTCTCAGATATATTCAACCAGTATTCCACTGAAGCCTGTTAAAACCAGCAATCACTTCTTCTTTACGCCCCACAATGAAGCCACCTCCAAACCCCATTCTAATCGAAGGGGAACATTTCAAAGTTAAAGAAATCTTAGACTTTTGCAAGCATAGAGGGAAAGTACAATACTAAACTATATGGAAAGATTTTCTTCCCTCAGAGACAGAGTGGGTCAATGCTCAACATGTTCGAGCCCCAAAAATTCTCTGCAAGTTCCAGAGCAAGTACCCAGACAAACCCTATTGAATAATAACTCTGTTTTGTCTCTTTTTGTCTTTCTCCCATAGGACTGATGTCTTTTCCAAGGGAGGGGGGGCAGAATGTCAGGCCTGCTATCTTCAGCACACCTCTCTTTGCTGGCATCCTGCCATAAAACTCATGGGAGGGAGGAGGAGGGTGGGAAAGTAGGGAATGGGCAGAGAGAGGAATGGAGGGAATGACAAGGTGACAGGAACCAGAGATGTCAATCCGGAATGAACCATCCAACCAAGGAAAGAATTGTGCAAATGGAATATAAAACTCAACCAAAGAGGTGCCGAACCTCAAAGCCATTCCCAAAACACCAAAACCAAATAATATTGGACATTGATGGACTGGTCAAGGGGGGAGGGCCAGGGAGATGGGTAAACCACAGGCTTTGCAGAGGAATATTCAGATCCAGTTTTGCTTACGCTGTAACCATTTGAACTTAGTAAATGTGAACCTTTCACTTCAACCATAGAGTTGAGGGTCTTTCTTTCCTAAGTGCCTAAGCTGGAACAAGCCTGACACTAACTTAATAACTGCAACTGTAACAAGAAAGGTCATTAAATGGGGCAAAATTCACTTAACAAACCATTTTGCTAAGTAACAGAAATGTTGGGGTCAAGTTGAGGATTACCTGTAGAAGATCTCTATATTCTAAATTAAACTGACAGGTTGACCGCATTTTGCATACTTTTTAAGAAAAGGGGAAAAGAAATACCGTATTTTCCGGCGTATAAGATGACTTTCTAAACCATGCAAATCGTCTCCGAAGTTGGGGGTCATCTTATAAGCTGAGTCGTCTTATACGCTGGAAAATACAGTATTTTCCGGCGTATAAGACGACTTTCTAACCATGCAAATCGTCTCCGAAGTCAGGGGTCGTCTTATACACCGAGTCGTCTTATATGCCGGAAAATACGGTAAATTGTATCTTGACTGTTAATACAAAGACGAACAAGTATTAAAGTGGATTCTTCATCAATGCTGTGCATTATTTTCTCTTCACCTTACTAACCTGTACTGGATTTGGCAGTTTCCTGTCCAATTGTTTGGCCTAGGAGATCATACTGATTCAACCTTGAACCATCTGAAGCTACTTCTACTGACTTTGATGCATTGAACGTCCACTTGTAGGTTACTTCTGCTGTTGTATATGCATCTGTGAAGGACAAAAAGAAGAGTCATTCAGAATATTTGAGATTATTAAATAATTTCAGTAAGTATGAATTAAATATTTAAATCTCCAAATAGTGATAGAGACAGTAAAACAGAGAGTATTTTACAATGTAACCAAATATGAAAAAAGGCACAACCAAAAATCAATTCTTTCCCAAAATAATTCATTTCACTTCCTGTAAGTTTGGCAAAGTCACTTCAATTTCTTTCTTTTAATGACACTTTCCTGTTTTTAGACCCTAACCACTTATATCTTCTTTTCTTTTAAAATTGCTGTTAACTTGTTCTGTTTCATCTCTGAATGTTTATCGAACCATTTCAACTAAAAGTCACCATAGTAAATATAACCAGAATTCACCAGTTATGTTATCATATTTTTTTCAGAGTGACACAGGGTCATCAAAACTATGAATATAAAAATGCAAATGGTTTATTAGCTTAACTGAATGCTTCCAATCTGCAGATAAGGAGGAGGGAGAAACCATGCTAGCATAGCTAAAAATATAGCAAGATTGTATAATTATGCAATTAGGATAGGATAGAATAGGAGCTGGAAGGGAACTTAGAGATTTTCTAGTTCAGCCCCCTGCTCAAGCAGGAGAACCAATACCATTTCAGGCAAGTGACTGTCTAGACTTTTCTTAAAGACATCCAGTGATGGAGTGCCCATGATTTCTGAAGGCAAGCTGTTCCACTGATTAACTGTCCTCACTATTAGAAAGTTTCTCCTTAATTCCAGGTTGCTTCTCTTTTTGGTCAGTTTCCAACCATTGTTTCTTGTCTTGCCCTCTGGTGCTTTGGAAAGTAGTTTGACCCCCTCTTCTTTGTGGCAACCTCTGAAATATTGGAACACTGATATCATGTCACCCCTTTTTCTTCTTTTCTTTAGACTAGCCAAACCCAAATCCTGCTGCCTTTCTTCATATGTTTTAGTCTCTAAGATCATCTTAGTTGCTCTTCTCTGAACTTTTTCCAAGGTCTCAACATCTTTTTTGTGGTATGGTGACCAAAATTTGTTGCAATATTCCAGGTGTGGTCTTACTAAGGTGTTATAAAGTGGTACTAATACTTTAAGTGGTCCTCTGTTTATACAACCTAGGATTGTATTAGCTTTTTTGCCTGCTGCTGCATACTGTTGGCTCATAGTCAAGTGATTGTCCACTAGAACTCCAAGGCCCTATTCACAGTTAATGTTTTGAGCATTAATCTGTACTTATATTTATATTTTTCCTGCCTAAATGTAAAACTTTGCTTTTCTCCACATTAAAATTCAATTTGTTGGATAGGGCCCATTGTTCAAGTTTGTTAAGATCTTTTTGGATCCTGAGCTTGTCTTCTGTTGGCTATTCCTGCCAGTTTAGTGTCATCTGCAAAGTTGATGAATTCCCCTTCTATTCCCTCATCTAAGTCATTGATGAAGATATTGAAGAGTATTGGGCCTAAGATGGAGCCTTGTGGTATTTCACTGTTTACTTCTCTCCATATGGATGTAGTACCATTGAGGACTACTCGTTGAGTACGGTTTGTCAGCCAGCTGCAGATCCATCTGGTGGTTATGTTGTCTATCCCATCTTTTTCTAGCTTACTAAGCAGCAGGTAGTGGCCTACTTTGTCAAATGCCTTATGAAATCTAAGTATACTATATCCACAGTGTTTTACTAGTCTACTAACTAGTAGACTAGTCTATTCATTAGTAGACTAGTAGACTCCCCCTCCTCTTTTTGTAGTTCTGTTTCTTTTGAGCAATTTGTATCTATCCATCAGTCCATCCCAGTTATGGGTTTTGTCCCAACAGATTTCTATAATGCTAACTATGTCATACACACCCTCATGTACTATTGCTTCTAGTTCACCCTGTTTGTTCTCCAAACTTTGAGCATTAGTATATAAACATTTAAGACTTTTACATCTGTCCGTGGGTATGTTTCCTGTATCTCCTGATTGTTATTTGATTTTTTTCTTTTTTCTCATCACTCCCTACCTCTTTGTTTGATTTTTTCCCTTGACATTTATGATTGGTTTTGTATTCTAGAGATTCTAATAATTGGTCCCCCTTCTCCCTGAATTTTAGTTTAAAGCCCTTCTAATGAGTTGGGCCAGTCTTTTTTCCCCTGTTTTTTGTGAGGTGCAGCCCATCCCTTGCCAAGAGTCAGTCACATAGAAATCGAAGTTTTCTTGGCAACACCAACCCTTTAGCCAGTGGTTTATTTCTAGAACACTTTTCCCCTCAATAGGTGTTGGCCTTTTGTTGGGAGTACTGATGAGAACACTACTTGTGTTCCTAACTCCTTAACTTTATTGCCTAGTTCAGTGATGGCGAACCTTTTAGAAATCGAGTGCCCAAACTGCAACCTAAAACCCACTTATGTATTGTTGGGTGGGTGTGGCCAATTGGGTGGGCATGGTCCATTGTATGGGCATGGCTGCAGTAGTAACGGCAGAACTGGGTGGGACTAAAAAGTTCAATCAATCAATTCCAACTTTGCGAGATCTTTTTTTTTCCCACGAGAAGTTGAAATTGATTGATTGATTGAACCTTTTTTTTTTGCACATGGCGGCGGAGGCCTAAAGCAAAAAGATTTTATAAAATCCAGCTGAAGGCCTAGGTTCACCACCACTGGCCTAGTTGCTTATAGTCTCTCAGGATTGTGCTCAGGTTCTTTGCTGTGTCATTTAACGCAATGTGAAGGAGAAGGCAAGGGTAGTAATCTCTTGGCCTAATTATTTTGATTAGGTTCTCAGCCATGTCTTTGATTTTTGCTCCAGGCAGACAACATACTTCCCTGGATTGTATGTCTGGTCTGCAGATGGCTGATTCTGTTCCTTTGAGAATAGAATCTCCTATCACCAGCATTTGCCTTCTTTTCTGGTGGGGGGGGTAGTCTGAGGGGTTTTTCTGTTTGTCTCAGGTGTGTTTGTTGATGTGACTTTTTAAGGGATATTTGGTGTTGTTTCTTTGCTAGGTGTCTGCATGTTTTCTTTGAGGGGGAGGTTGTGGGCCTATGTATTTCCATCTAGGGGGGAGAAATCAATTGCTCAGTTTTAATGGGGCTGCTTTTGGTTGGGTTAGATTGGACAGTAGAGGTTTGTTAGATGTGTGCTGCTTCTTCCTTTGCTTGTTGTGTTTCCTTCTATGTGTTGCATACCTCATTTGTCTTCCTCCAAGGGTTTATTGGTAGGGTCAAATACTCTGGAAGTGTGATGACCCAGGGCCCCAAATGGAGGCAAAGCAATTAGCTGGTCAGAATAATTGTCTTTGTAAGCACTGCCAACGTTCATCCAATAGCCCCCACATATGCTGGCACAAGTTCAAGAAAACAGTCACCGGAGTTAAATAGTTCTTTAAAGTAAAACAGATAACAAACAAAGTATGATCTTTTCAACGCCCAGCTTGCCTGTAACCTGCAAACTGCAAAACTGAAGACAGCAAGGAAAACTCAGCAGGAAACAAACTTGATCCAAAATACAAAGAGTCCAGGTACAAGAGCTCACATCACAAGAGTTCACGTTTGTTCCCGCCAAATGCCCCACCCCACAGTGGCTCCTTAAATACCTACTCCCCAGGTGTGCCTTGTGAAGTGGGGCGTGACGCTCTCCTCCCAAGCAAGTGAGCCTGCCTCCATTGTTCCCTCCTCCTCTCTGCTCTCCTTGCTCTGGGATCAGGTGGGGAGGGGCCTTGCTCCTCACCTGAGCTCTGCCTTCCCTGTTCCAAACTTGAAGGGCCCTGGCCTGCTTCAGCCTGTTCCTCCCCACAGTCCTCCGAAGCCACAGACACCCCCTCCTGGGCCTCAACAGGGAACTCCATGTTGTCCTCAGAGTCAGGCTTGGCTGGAGGCATGACACTATCCCCCCCGCAGGACCCCCTCCCCTGGGACCATGCAGACTAGGAAGGTGCGGGAACCAGGTATGAAAGTTGCGAACCAGATGAGGGGTGTGAACGTCAGTGGCATCGATCCACGTGAAGTCCTCAGGTCCATAGCCTTTCCATGGCATGAGATACTGAAACCAGCCATGCAACCGACGGGAATCCCAAATACTGTCCACTTCATACTCCGTATCTCCCTGGGGGGTGGCCAGACCTGGCGATGGTGGAGCTGGCCGATGTGGATCATCGGCTGCGACTGGAACCAGCAATGACCTGTGGAAAACCGGGTGAATCCACATGGTATGGGGCAATGACAAGCGAAACCCCACTGGATTGATCACCACTTCGACCAGAAATGGACCCAAGTAACGGTGATCGAGTTTTTTTGACGGCTGTCCTGTAGGCAGGTGCCACGTGGAAAGCCAAACCCAATCGCCCACAGATAACGAAGGGACATCTCGATGATGACAGTCGGCGAATCGTTTGTAATCCTCCTTGGCTTTCTCCAGCTGGTGCCGAACTACTTGATGCACCGGCTTCAGCTCCTGGACGAACTTGTCCACGGCCAGAACTGGGGAGTCCGATGGAGCCAACGGAAATCCGTAACTGGCAAAGAACGGTGACACACGGGTAGATGCATGCTGGGCATGTTATAGGTGAACTCTGCCACAGCTAGCAGCTCTGTCCAATTGTCCTGTTGGGTGTTGCTGAAACAGCAGAGGTACTGTTCCAAGATTGCATTCACCCTCTCTGTGCCCCTGTCGGTTTCGGGGTGATGGGTGGAGGACAGACACGCCTGTACCTCAGTTCCGTGAGTAGGGTCTGCCAGAAGCGTGCTGTAAACTGAACCCTTCAATCTGACATGACTTGGTCCAGTAACCCATGCAGCCGAAATACATGGGCGATAAACAACTAGGCCGTCATCCGTGCTGTAGGAGGACCCACACACGGGATAAAATGAGCCATTTTGGTGAGCATGTCCACCACCACCAAGATGGTTGTGGCACCCTTGGAAGGGGGCAACTCGGTAATGAAGTCCAATGAGACCACCCCCCAGGGTCTTTCCGGCATAGGTAGCAGCTGCAAGAGACCAGAGGGCGTACCAGTAGCATACTTGG